GTTGCGAAAGACACATAGTCACAACACTTATTTGGAAATGCATATGTTCCGACTGCAAGATAAGGTAAAGATACATATAGATCAGAATTCACTAACCTTGTGCTATATGTGTGCCTGTTTGGTCCTCACCAAGTACATCTGCAAGAAAGCGAATGCCTGAAATCTTAAATGTAACAAGGCCGCATATTTGAAAGATTCAAAATAGTAGCAGCGAGTTGTAAAGGAGTAAACAAAGTAATGCTTTGATTAATTTTTATTCGGCTTTGGCGCAGGTGCTGCGCAAGCGTGGTTTGAATTCGTGATAAAGTTAACACCTAAAATGAAATTACTATAAGAGAAATGAGCTTAATTGACATAAATCTATCAAAAATCCGGAAATTTCTTTGAATCGACGAAGAACAAAATCGTAAGAATACTTTGAGAGTCCCTACAAACGTTTATTTTATATAAATTCCACGAGTCGAGTTTGTATCAGCTGTCGAGGTTCAGCACATCCCCAATTTTACGAGTGGCAGGAGGAACATAGAATTTTATATTAGAAGAGATTAGTGCTTTTACTAGTTCATGAAAACTGTTTTTGGCACGACCTAGAAAATTTAGTGTATCCCATATAATAATATGGAGAAAGTTCAAAATTCCGATTATGATATTGGGGTATCGCTAAACAAGAGCGGAGCTTGCTAGCGAACCCAATATACGGTAAAGAGTACACTTTGAATTGTTCAAAGTTGTGCTTTTTGCTCGTTTTACTGGTGGCAGATAAAAGTCACTTCTCACCACCTGGATTTCTCTCTTATGCTATTGTTTTTGTTGACGCAGTAATTGAACGAGGAGCGTGACAAGTAACCAAGCCAAGTATATTTGTTTGCTGATTTGTGCAACGGCACTATTTCACAAGTACTGGCGATGGAACGGTGACCTCTGAGATAAAAGTGTAAGATGCAAAGTCATTTCTAACTATTCGCACGAGCCCAAGCCGAGAATTCAGTAGGATACAGGACAAGCAATATCTGGTTCCTTCCGCTGGGGAGTCCTGAAAATGCGCAGCTGCACAAATTTCAGCGAAGAAATCTAATTGACTGTGCTTGCACAGCCAGCGCTGTACTAGCGAAGCTACTATTGTCTTAGCATAAGTATAGCCTGGTGATCCTAGAAAAATGTCGTCTCAAAATAATACTGTTTGCTGAGTGACGATGAAATAAAGCGCAGCGCGAATCGTCGATAGTTCGAAAGTGCGTGGCGAGAGTAATCCCCGCCAGAACCTGGGTTGGCAACAAACTGGAAGCGAACCGCCGGATGTGACAGTGTGACGATTTGTCCGTAATCGAGCTATGACGTCATATTTAAGCGATTTATGCTCTTCAGTTTTCAACCTTTATTTTTTAGTTCTCTACTCAAATCATTCGATCGAGAACAGGTTTTGATCAACATTTGCCAAGTTCATTCAGGTGACTGGATTTCCGCTGTTTTTTTTTGACAGATTTAGGGTACCATTCCGTAGAGCGGATCAAGCTCTACAAAAAGACTACAAAAGATCCACTCAATTCGTAACCCGGGTATTTGGAGCCAAAAATCAAAATTTTCCAGCTACCCTAAAATCGGATCTCCTTGCAGAAACTTCCTACGGACTTCCAACTTGGTATTTATATAGTAGATACATAGAAGTACCCAAAAATGTATTTGATTTATTTTTTCCGGGGCTCAAAATTGAGAAACAAAGGTGGTCACAAAATGTCAAAATGCCACTTTTTTCGGGTTTTTTCAAATGTAAAACTCGGTATTTCTCGATTATAAGAACACATGCAGGGGTGAAATTTTAAGTTTATACTTAGCAAGGCTAGTATACAATGGCATATGTGAGGGGGCTTGGGCGGAGTTTGCCAATTTTGGACTATCTTATTTTTCTCGCTTTCTATGCAGGTAATCCAGCATACTTGAGTATTAATATGTGCCTACTGTATAATGACCAAGTTGGAGATCCGTAGGGTTTCTCTTCGCAGAAATCCAATTTTCAGTTGACAAATTTTTTTTCGATTTTGACCTCAAAATTTTCATGGAAGGCGAATTAGGCGGACCTTTGGCGCAATGATATCCTGAATGTACTAAGAAAACAAAAATAACTTGAATCATTCAAAAAAAGAATTTGCTTTTGGGACAACCTAATAGTTAATCATGTGCTATTCTGAGGCAAAAAGAGCAGGCAAAGGTAGATACGCGACTTTTTTTGTTTATTATACTATAAAACTAGGACTGAATCAAAAATATTTCATGCATCTTAGCATTTGCAGAAATTTTCTTGAAAATAAGGTGTGAGCGCTTGACTTCATCAGCTGTTGAGCCGCAATATACCAGTACCAATTTTTGCTTCATCTGCAGTTAGAGCGATATGTTTTCTCTCTCGGGAAATTGCCATCACGTACATGAACCGAAAGTTTGGGAAATTCATAAATCTTCTAAAATTTGTGTCCAAGAGCTGTGACTCAACCTATGAGAGTATATGAGACAGATGCAAAAATTTCCTTTTTATCCCTTGAATACTTTTCCAATTACAACACTGCGGTATGTCTTTAGTTTTTTTTTTGTTCTTGCCAATATACAGTGTCAGGACCACTTATGGAGATTCAGCAACATGGTGTCGTTATGGTTATTATAAGAAAATGTGAGATTCTAGGTATTTTTTTAGAAACTTTGCAATATTACGTATGAGGGAGGGTAACCGATTTTACGAATCGTCCCTTGCGATCAGCTTTGCACACTTTCTAAAAGCTATGTTTCTTGAAATAAGGTGAGATTCTGGCGTTAGTTGTTCTCCAGGCTTTACAAGAAGACTCAGATTGAAGAGTCTTTTCATTATACTGTATCGCCTTTGACTCATACTACAAAAAAGCACATTTCTCCAAAAGAACTATGGGATACACTCTGCGCTTCCTACTAACAATCTTGGAGCAGAGAAAGTGAGGCTAAATAAAGCTATTTTATGTCCTAAAAGCTTTCGAAATTGCTTTTATAGAAAATCAATTCTTAGAGTCTGATACTGTAGACGAGAGTTGTCAGAAACTACTCGTTGGAACCGCTCAGACCCACGATAATTGGATAAAAAGGAAATTTAGATATTTGAGATTGTACGCAAGGGAAGTTCCAAAAATCGACAATCATTTTTAAGACTCCTAAGCAAAATCCTAAGAATTCTCTGTAGAGTCATACTTTTTCTAGGGGCTTGTGGCTACGAAGTTTTCAGCCACTTTTTCGCTCTAAAAGAAGCTAAGCAGTTCTGGTACAAATGCATCATGTAATACCAACTAAATCACAACGCTTAATGACGTAATGACCCAGTACTTATGACTAACGTTGATCAAAAAAAGACCCTATATCTAAATTGAAAAGTCCCATTCCGTCTCCAATAAAATTCCAAAAAGAAGTATGATTTGATCAATACGGGAAGACACAGCTTGTGATTTTACAGTCCAGGAATTCAACGTATGCACATGATCAAGGCAGGAGCAAAAAGCAAAGACTAACATTTGCGCCAACGAAGTTCTGTCAAGCCGTGACGCCAAAAATGTGCAGTTAAAACGACAAATGACTTGTGATAAAATGAGCGACTGTTGCCCTTATCAGGCAAAACGATGCCAAATGGCGGATGTCCGTTGGCAGCACTGTAGTAGTTTTGTAAGCTTGCGTAACAACAAATATGCCCTGAATTTGAACGAAGTGGCCAGAAAGTTGTTTCTATCGGTATAGCAACAAGCAATCTGTCGTATTTATTGATGTTGGAGAAATTATAACTATAGAACGTTTAATTTACAACGTGCGCCAGAAAAGGTGTGATAGCTGGCTGATCGGGCTACTGTTATCGATGATGGTCTTGGCCGAAGCGACAGGAAACATCAATAGAAAGGGCGAAGAGTTTTTTCTGAAGAAAGCAAGATCTAAAGATACAAAGTCGACAGTGAGATAAAGCAAAGGCAGAAACATAGTCTCATGGACTTTCGGATTCAACGTACTAGGCGCTTTCTCCACCGAAAATTTTCAAACCGGTGTGCCAGGTTGATTTCGAGTCTATATTATCATTCAGTGAGGCACAAGGCCTCCGAATTTTGTACTGATAATGTGATGTGTGCATGTGGTTTTTTGATTCAGAATCTCTTCACAGTGATAGTCACGACTAATTTTGCGAAGTCGACATCTAGACAATAATTTATATTCAGAAATTCAGTCCCGTGTCATTCTAATTCACTTGCTGAGTATCGCACTTTGTGGATTCGCATAAATTTTTCCCCTTAGCATGTTTTTGCCACCAGATTTTGACGTTTATGATCTTTATTAGCAATAGGCCCAACTTGCAGATGGTTTTGTTTGTATTTTTGTTTTTTATCTTTTGCTCTTGAGCCATTAACGTTGATGCTTCCATTACGTTCACTAGCAGATTTGTGGAGCACCTTGAAGCGCGTAGAAATCAATAGGTTTAGAGAAATCGTGCAATATATAGAAGAAAAAGAGCAGACTACAAGTCTACAGCAAATTCGTTTGAGAGTCCTTTGTTTTTCAGCAAATAATTCGTTATTTTCGAAACCTGCGCATGATTTGCTATGGTACGCGAGATTCATCCTCTTCCCGTTCTCGATAAGCGCAGCTCCCAGCGCGATCAGATTCTCGGAATGCAAAAATTCGAGCCGATTTGTTCAGTCCCTAATCTTTGTAGCGCTAGTTTTAATGAAGATGCAATGGAGCATACTCAAACTGCGATTTGACCATTTTTTCGGTATCCCAATGTTCCCAGAATAAAGTAAGGTCCTATTGCTGCGCTCTGTATTCATATTGGACTAGTTTTGGGATGAAGGAGAGTGTAGGGAGTACTGAGCTTTTTGAATCAAATCTTCGGAGTCAGTTGTAGCTAAGTTTGACAATGACAAAAACATGGAAAGCTGGCCACTGAGGCATCCAATGCCAGCAAACCAGAGATCCTCACTCGAAAGCAAGTGTCATGAAGAAACAGAAATCTTCATTATAATGCTTTATTAAGATACTTTCACCCCGAAAGCAATGAAGGACTCATACAACTCGACTTCAATAACTAAAGTAAAACTCATTCTCAACAATGTTATACAGTACAAATGTTAATTAAACGTCTAATAAGTGATCAGCTCACTTTTGCGGGAGTGTAGACCCATTCTCAGAGAATTATGAGACATAGACATTGTGCCCATTACTGTCATTAGGACGAAAAGCAAGATTGTGTGGAGCGCATCAACAAGACATCGAAAATATACAATGGTGAGTAGCAAATGAGTGGAAATACTGGTGAAGAAAGTTTTAGTGAAGTAACGTAGTCGCGACCTTTCGCCACCGCAAGAAAGTAACACAGCTTACCGGTTGTTCCAATAAATAACCCAAAGTTATCACAGTTTAATGTTGCACAACAATACGTTTAGAACCCCTTGGACATGGAATTGAAAGCATTTTCACTTGGATGTGGAAGACAAACTGGGTCTTTCTCATTCAATGGTCACACGCACACGTCGAATACGTTGAGGATAGCAATAGCATGAACATGAGGAGCTCTCGCGCAGTTCCAACATGTAGCGAATGTTATTTCCCGTACCCGCTAAAAGTAAATTCTTGACACGACCATCGCAACAGTCGCAAGAGATAGGGAACAGCAGAACCGTTATGTAACCGCCTATTTCTCCTCTATCGATGTTGGCTGCTCAACGGTCGGCTTCTCGCTTGTCGGGACCGTATCGGCGGGGGTCTTGACTACCTCGTCCTTCTCTTGCGATTTTGGCTCTGTTGGGGCCTTAACATCTTCTTGTGGACATGATCTTTATCTAGCCTGGGGATCCGTCATACGTCGATGAAAAGAGTACAAAAGCCTCAGAAAACGCCAGAGAACTTTCTGGCGCGCAAATTTTGGGGCTGGAACGTCACTCAAAAACATTGTTTTTGACTAGAACGGCTAAATTATTTGTATTTCTCATGAAAATGTTTTGAACGCGGTCAAAGTCGGCAAACTTCACTGTACAATATTTCAGTCCTTTTCAGTATGAGTTGAGCGGCTTGCTCGTATATTCAATCATTTTCAGTAAACGCTCTGCTTAACCGTCCAACGCCCACAGCATAGCTTAACCACTCAATAGTAACTTCAGTGTGTTGTGGAAAATTAGAAAATTTCACCTAAAACTTCTGCTCTGAGTAAAGAACTTAGTGTAATTCTCTGTTGCGAAAATATATAAGTTACTTGGAGTCTAACGACATCATTACGATTCTGGCTTGGAAATTTATGGGACTACATCTTCATATTGATGCTAAAGGTTACTTTTGGTATAAAATGACATTTTTAGTATAATGCTCCAGTGCCAAAAGCTGCGCGCCAGTAGGGGGCGTTCTGACGCTTTCCGACGCTTTCTGGCGTCGGAAAGCGTCAGAAAGCGAGCGATTTTCGGAGAAGTATGATACGTCCCTTAGCATGACTCACATGTGCCTTCGCTGTTGTTGGTGAACTTCGCTTATTCTTGTATAGAACATCGGTTGTTTGAATTTCACCTAGACTGCTTTATAAAAATGCTGCGAACAAAGTAAGTCATATTCGCTCTACCTGTATTCAAATTGAAAAACCGTCCACGCACTCGTCCGTCCTTCTCTATAGGTGACCACCAATTAACCAAAGATCCCATGATTGGTAATTGCCGTATCACACCCTGAAATATAGCACGAGTCATTCACGCTGAACATCTGTGGGAAGAGTTAGGAGCAAGTAAAGCTATGCCATTTCTGTAGAAAATTTCTAAGTCAGTGTTGTTGCTAACCTCCTGCTGAAGCCGTAGGTCATTTTCTTTCTTGAGATCTTCGTTTGCAGCTTCTATTCCTTGCCGAATCAGTTCGGCTAGACTATCCAGGTACTGAAAATGCGTTTTAAAACAGAAGTCCATCACGGCTTTGGTGAGCAAATCACCTGTTGGTTCGTTTCAATTTCTTGTCCTTTCTCGGCAACCATTTTTAACAAATCGGCAAGGTCTTTAGCATCTGATAGCATTCCGAACTTCACGCATGCAACCTAAACACTCAAGTTTCAGGAAATCAAGTTTAGCAGTCAGTTTGTTATGTGCCTTATTAGAAGTTATTAAAACTATAGTAGATCAAATGGTAACTTGCTGCAAGTTTCAGAAACAAAGCCCCACTAATCTCAATAGACTATTCAAAGCTAAAGAAATCCAACCATTGAAACCCTATTCAATTTTTGTGTTCTGCCCCACAATGTTGGTCGGATCTAGCAAACCGCACTTACACCGTATGTCGCACAATCTCCTGTAGAAAATGCAGAGTCAACAGATCGCAGCTGATGAACAAGTTCCAAATTCATGTGGGAAATCTAGAAAACATAGTGGTTTCATGGAAGAGGGGAAAGTCACTTTACAGTTCTCGCTTTTTCGGACAACAATTTCAAAAAAATGTCAATTGTACCTGCTGCTTGTCCTTTTCATCCCAGTCCGCAGGCGTTTTGCTTTTGATAATTGAGGGCACATAACTGAAGAAACTAAGTTTACTGGAATATTTCAGACGAGATTATAGCTTACCAAACTGCTCCAACTCCTGCCCATTTATGAACGGGTAGTAAAGCAAGTGATGGATATTCACTTTTCAACTTTTCGAAGCCCGCCCGAGCAGCGACAGTTGAGTCAACAATCTTTAGCACTCCACCGAGCAATCGGATGAATTGTTGGACGTGATCGACGTGGGATGAGAGGGCTAGATGTGGGAAGTACGAGACCTATATGTTTGAAGAAAATCAAAATTACCCGCTGCATGTTCGAGTGGGCAGAAACGGAAGGCTACTCCATAACTGCCGCCTAACTCAATCATATGAATACCCAGAGACTGACATTCGGACACAACTCCCTGACCTAGCTGTAAGTAAAAGTATTTTGAATGCCCCTTCCTAACTTCAGCCCTTCCCTGTCTCATTTGGAGTGAGCCCAACTCGAGCGGCCTCCTCATCTGCGCCACGGTCGCGAACGTGCCCTCTGATCACTTTCTCATGCCTATGCTTGCGAAAGGGCTCAGAGACGAGCTTCAAACGTTGGTTAGGCATGGGAAAATAATCATAGAACATCGCGAACGCGGCTCAGGGTCTAGGCGAGACGACCGCAATCCGAGCTCGAGTCTGACTACTCTAAATGAGACAGAGGGTAACTAAAAAGCAAAGCTTACCCAGGAGTTCAGGGAGTCTCCATATTCACATTCATCTTTCATAACTTTTTCTGCCTGTAAAAGTGCTTCCTGGTTCGCCTCTTTCTCGGGTTTCTGACATAACTCTCGGAAAGCCTTAATATACGAAATTCTCAAAAGCCCACCATTTTTGGGTCAGGAAAAAGAAACCACCTTGGTTGCTTCCTTTGCAGCTAGGTAGCGATACTTGAAGATTAGAACTGTAGGAGCCGTATACTGGTTTTTGTAAACTCTAGTAGCAAATTCCACTGCATTATCCATTCCAACTATCTCTATTTGTGAGAACGTTGAGAGACCTTTCAGCATGACTTTACACTGCAAGTGTCAGATTGAGCAGTTCAAATAAGTGTGCTGTTTCTCACTTACAAGTAAATAAGCATTCTCAATAATGTCGGTAATGCCCTTGCTGGTTAAGGTTTGAGTGGCGACCCACCACGGTAACGTGTCCAACTTTTCTCGATACGTGGGCTTATGGCCTTCCAGTGCCCTGTGGAGGGTCTGAAAAATTGTTTTTGTCCAGAATTCGCTACAAAGTTCAATAATTAAATAAACTCCTAAATCTATTAGTTTGTTTATACTCACAACTACGGGTGCGGCAGGGATTCCTAACCAAAGCGCCAGTGGAAGAGTAACGCTGTCGACCTGAGTGAGAACGTGGACGAGAACCTCGGTGGGATCGCGTAAGGTTAAAGCTGCAACTGCCTAAAAATGCATTGAGTCTCTTCCGCAGCTTTTCTACTCATAAGGTTCGTAAACTGGATTAGCTGTGAGCATATTTATCGTTGACTCACCAAGCTCTAGTACAAATGAAGAAAGTTCCCATTTTTATTTTCATTCATTATGTTCAAGGTTGTCAAAAATACTTTCATTCTTCCATCGCTATGTTATGAAGCCGTAGCATTTGTTCATGTAATCATTATTGTGGAAGCTGAAGTTAACTTTGATGCTCTATTCAGTTACTAGAAGAATCCTACCCTACCGTATACCACCAAGTGCCTTATGTAACAGTAGAAAATACTGAATGGTATCTAAGTGTGACTCGATCAGATGTACCGCCCTTTTGATCCGCAACGCGCGCTCACGTGCCTTCGAGGCTCTTTACTTCTCTACTCTCAAATGGAGGAGGGCGTGGGAGACTATAATTATACCAGGCCAAAATTGTTTCTTATTCTTAGGAGAATGCTGTCGCTTGCAATATGCGCTTTTCCAACGTTCAAGTGCGTTAGATTGGAATTTTTGAGGCACTTCGGAGGAATGGAACTCTCGCCTACCCGCTGTGTAGTGATCTTCATTTGGATATCACAACACTTCTTTTGATAGAATAGAAACAAACAACTTTTTCTTTTACTCTCATTTCCCACGCTCTCCTACACCTATTCTAATTGTAAGAAACATGAAAGAAGAAAAGAAAACAAGAAGTCCGTGACTCGAACCTAAAACGAAGAGAGTTTGAATGCATATCCGAGTCGTGTGCGCCGCTTATCTATTATTTCCACTTTTCTCTATTGGGGGTACTCTTTTTGAAAACAAAAAACATACTCCTGCTTTGCTGCAAAAACCTTTGCATATGCATGAATTTTGCTGTTGGCAGCACATGCATAAATTATCGACTGAATTTGTTATTGGCAAATATTTCTATCCAGTACACAACTGCATAATGTTAACATCAAAAACACATGTAACTCACCTGACCAACAATATGAAGCCAGAAGCGATGTTTCTTCCGAATCTCAAGGATTTTTGAAACCATGTCGTTTTGTCCGAGAATTGTCGATCCAACAACAGCTATCACTAACAAAGGCTTTCTACCGGCAGCAACGTCCTCATCGAGGATACGTTCGAATGCGTGGTGATCCTAGTAAGAAAAATTATTACCAAGAAATGAAACTGAAGAAGGGGAAGAGGAGGGAAGAATCGGCAGCATGACCTCGAGGCTGTCTCTCTAACATTCTTGCTTGTAAAAATCTTTCAATGCAGTGCAGTCTAGTCATTTGTAACTTAATGTGTGCACTGCACACCGTGCGCGGTATCCTACGGCTTTTGCGATTACAAGTTTTCAAATTCGTTTTTTTTGCTTCAATAGGATGCAAACAGAAGCTAGTAGTTTTTTAACTGTTTTTCAGTGAAATGATTCTAATAACCGAATACAGTCAATGTACCGTGGAATGTCATGCATAGTGTGCAAGCAAGCATACGTATTAAATTACAAAACCCGACTGTATAAGCAGCTTATTCGCAAGCGCTACTAAAGTAGACTGAGACTTTTTCCTCGTTACACTGATTTTTTAGGGCATTCCGAGGGCAAAAAAACCCTGCAGGAAACGCTTCCACTTACAATTCTGCCTTCAATTTCGCTCATATCCCCTTCAAGCTTCGGTAACAACACTACATCAGCGATTCCAAACTCTGAGGCAATATAAGAAGCTAGGTCCATATGAAGAGCAGGTGTGACGTATACGACTGGAGCTCCCTAGAGAAAGTGTCTTTTAATGAGCTGGAAGCGCCATAGCCTTATTGGTGACGAACATGAGGTATTCTAAAAAGATTTCTTTACCTTTTCCAAAAACGTCTTCCACCCATTGTTGATATAATCGCTTCCATAAGCATCCTTCAATGCCAAACGAAGCGCATGTCCTACATAATACATCCATTTTTCTCTCCTCAACAAAAAAAAAAACAAGATACCAACCAATTCCATTTCTGACGGAAAGTGCCAAAGTAGCCTCAGATTCAGAGCAGTGTACATTTGCATCAGGAAATCTATAAAATTAGGTTTACCCTCATGATATGATTCTACTGAATTGATGCGACTTTTTTCACTCGGTATGGAATAGCTGAAAATGTTCAGGCAGATGCTTCACGTTTATACGTTGGAAGCATGCAAATGCGAATTTCCGATTTTGCAAGATGAGCATGAACATAGACGGCAGAATAGGATATGTCCATTTCGTGTACTTGCAGTCGGTCTGCTCAGATAGTGAAAGAAAAAGCTTTGGTTTTTTGAAAATTACTATGATTTCTTCATTCTCCCCTGTAGGAATACCGTTATTCAGTTTGGTGGACCTTGAAGCAGTACAAATGTGAGTGTGAACAGACTATGTTGACAAAGTAAGCTAACAGCGATCAGCTTGTCACACAAAAATCTGAATGGAAGAAAATACAGGGTTTATCAACTGCAGTGTTGCGAGCATCAGCATCTCCGCTCCTGCGCAGCCGCTTCGCCTGGACTGTGCACCTCTTTCGCAAACATGCTCCTTGATTACTTTCCCACGCATGGAAAAAGGCGGATCCTCAATCGAATGGATATGATTAGCGAACATGTTCGCGGAAGAGGTGCAGAGTCCCGCGCGGGAGCGGAGATGCTGGTGCACTCGACACTGTATTTAGCCCTGTACATCAGCGATAAAATTAGGAGTAACCGAGTCGGAAGGTAAAATAATTCGTAACAAGAGAGATTTAGAGATGGTGGCATCGAAAAAAGCCACCACTGAAAGTTAAGCTTGTTGACTTCCTTCACTTAAGTCTTGACAATTTACCAAAGACAGTCCCGGCCAAATATCATTGTGCTGATTCAGGCTTATATACACAATTGGGCTGTATTCCGAGCAAAAAAGGATTGCCATGAAATCCTTTCAATTACACTGCCGTTCTTCCATACAAGAACGATGGTGATAACTTCCTTCAAAAACTTTAAGTCAATGGTTTGCATGGAGAAAGCTCGCACCACTTTTCTATCTACAAAGAACCAGAAACACTGTCAAGACATTCTAAATTTACCTGAACTGCTGGCTCAATGCCTGACTAGTGTTTCCATACAACCAAGAAGCAATGCTCTGTCTGTGGTGACTGCTTAGAAGGTCGATGTATGCTTTGAGCGATGACGACGTGACCAAAGTCCTTCCAAGGTCCGAAAGGCGCTGGCTGTCTCGTGATCTGGAAAATCAGAATTTTACTCGAGTACTCACGACTTTCTATTTGATCGAAATAAAAAAGACATCATGTGGAAAACCTTCGAGATTTTTGCAAAAAAAACTCGCTTCTTTCCGAAAATGAACTTCCAAAGTTTTGCTACGTTATACTGTAAAATCACATTGTTGGCAAATTACCGAGTCTTAGCAAGCTGTGGATGAAACTGTGGTGAACTTTCTTTGCCAACCCATTCGTCCGATACGATCAGTTGTTGCAGTTGCTCGAGCACTGGCGACACACTGTGTTGTGACATACTCGACGCCTTTCTTGACAACTGCTTCGTCTGAATTTCGAAGATTTATAACAATGCTTTAAATAGTTTGCGATGCTTTTATGAAATTTACGCTCGACTACTATTCAATTATTCCATGTGCTGCGGATTTTTTTAGGACATCATCGATCTATTTGGTAGTATGTACTGGGCCTTTGGAAACCATAAGAATTTGCATAAACAGAGGTCTCCACCTTCCGTAAACGTTATAACCGTCCCTTACGCCCAAATATCATTTACCTCAGTGGCAGCGCGTCGGCTCGCGCGCCACAAGCAACACAACGTCCAAGAGACACGCTTGTGCGGGACCTGAGCTGCAAGAGCCGGCGACACTATCATTGAAAATACAATTATATACCTCATACACTAAGATAAATCTGCACATTCTATTTTTTCTGAATGCATTAGGCCCTGAGCAATAAAAATTTCATTTCGAAAATATCCGAAGACTTTCTTATCAATCCAGTTGAAAAAATAGCCCAATTGTGTAACGACACAATTTCAAAGTTACAGTATCTTCTTACCGCGGCGTTCTTGGTAGGTGCATCCTCCAAACCGCTATCGTGTGACTTCGTTGATGAGGAGTGCGAACCAGGACTGTGCTGTGATTGTTGGTCGATCTTGCTAAAAGATTTATTGAAGTCATGCTGGCTTGAAAGCGACACACACACTGTCACACTCAATTTCCTACGTGCTGTGAGGTACGGTAACTGAATCAAAAAGTCCTAGAATCTTTTTGTGTTAGATGGAAGACTTACTGACGTCTCATTTGCCTAATAAAGACATGCACTGCTGAGCTGAATTCACGAATCGCAGCGAAGAATGTAATAGGAAATTCATAGTGTCTCAATCTGCGGCGGTTGACCGCATCCCTCGGGAGCAGCCAGTCAGCCTCAGGCACACTCTCGTTCCAAGCTACACTCTAACGCTCGCTAGCACGACAAACACTAACTGAATTAGTTTTCTTCGGATTTTGAGAACGAGAAATGCCGTTCTCCATTTTGTCGGAGTCATTAACACTAGGTTCTTAAGCATGCCCGAGAATTTATTGCCTCAAAAATAACGAATACCCCTGAGTACTCGACCAGAGACCAAACTTATCATATCAAAATTAACCACTAAAAGCGGTCGTGAAGTACAAAATTGCATCAAAAGCTTTAGTCACGTATCAGAGACCTAAGCGATCACATCATTTGCTTTAAAAATCATCAAAAACCATAAAAGGAAGTAAAAATTTGAATGAAAAACCAAACACATCATTTTCATGAACGTTTTCGATGCAACGAGTTGACGTGTCATTTTAAATAATTGATTGGATACAACCAACTGAAATTTGAGGCTGACGCTGACAAACAGGTATGATATAAAATTTGTACACAAAATGAAACGATTATTCACAAATAAAGCCATGATCATTTTTAGGAATATCTCATTTTGATCGCAAGAACAACAATCACGGAGCTGATCAACGCCAGAAAAAGGAAAGATAAACATATACTACAATGTGTTATTGAAGAAACATAAGCGATAACATAAGGAAGAACCAAAAAATTTCTTATTCAAACGAATGTGCGAGCATTGCTCTCAAGTTATTTTTCATCCATCCTTCGGATGACGTGGAGATCTCGCCAACATGCATATAAAACACTGATATTATAAAACCTAAGGATAAATCTTCGCAGCAACGGGATGTATTGAATTTTGAATTCTCTGCTTGATCCCGTGAGTCAAAAGGACGACATAGAATGATGTGTGAGAACTTGTCTGAAGAAGAAAAAAAGAACTGTTTACATTATGATGAGTCTTTGCCAGTAAAGAAAACATCCATCGCTTTCTTTACACTCACACTCCAAAAGGATTAGTATTAAAAAGAACTGATTCAGACGAACTGAGAAATTGGCTAATCATATAGGGACAGATTACACTCATATTCTAAGAAAACAGAAAATTTTTGATTGTGCATTACCACCATACAGCTCTGCAGATGAGTTCTTTTTCTCAAACAGATATAAACCGAATAAATTCATATTTCATGAAATGACTTCCGAGGCTACTGAATGGTAAAGAGTATTGGACATTATAGCATCGTACATGAAGCTGGATTGATGATTTCTTTTGCTGTCATGTGCACTTTATCCCCAATTATGAACGTCATGTATGTCCCTCTTCAATTTAGCGAACATAAATGAATTACTTTGCAATAACCAGTGACTGCGAAGCACACGGCAGAGTGAAGGATGGTATCATTAACGTGCAAAAGAGAGAGTAACCTCTTTAGGGCAAGCGGATAGCACTGACGACTCGCTGGTATGGGCTCTGAAATAAATTTTTGGACTATGGTAAATCAATTTTGGTTGGATAAACAGATACAGAGAAGGAAAGGAGGAAAGCTCTAAAACTTTTTAAAACTGTTTCCGGAGAGAAGAGGTGGCAGAAAAGTTTAGCAGTGATACGCGCTAGGTGCGAAAAATAGCGAGCCGAGAGAGCGCGCACAATTGGATAAAGGGGGGCTAAGGGGGATAAGTCCTCAATCAGCCGTTTTCAAATGTAATCTCATAAAGATGAATGGGGCGAGAGCCTCGTCCTGAAGGCAATATAGTGAGTAATTTAGAAGCATTTCTTCCAATCGAACAACCTATTACATATTCGTCGTTGACGGCTGCTGTGATGGCGTTATGTGTTAGCGAAATAGTTGTTGTCTTTCGAAAACAAAAAATCGACACTATTTAGGCGTGTTGTCTGTCGATATAAGCCTAACGTAAGCATCTTCAAAGTGAGATTTACGGAAAAGCACTTCGTTGATTCCAGTCGAGGGCTATGGCTCATTCGTGACAATTCTCTTCAAGCGAAGAAGTTTAGACACTGAGTTCGAAAATTTAGGAAATTACTTGGGCCAAAACTCAGAAAGAAAAAATGCACCGAAATAGCCTATGTACAGCATTGCTGATTTGGCTCCATAGTTCTTAGCAATGCTCATGCAGTTTTCATCATCGTCATCGTTATCGAAGCTGACAACTAGAATTCCCAAGTTCCCATAGCGCTACTGAAAAAAAAGTAGAATCGGAAGTCGACAGCTGTTTGGATCGCTGTATTCAGCGTAATCAACTGAATCTGCTTGCTAGGCCAAAGCTTTGTTTTATAGATCCCCAGAAAGTTATAACACGTTACTAGATTCTGTTGAAAAAACGAATATGCAGACAAAACCAAAAAGATCGAAAACGTTTTGGTTAGCATTAACCACCAAGATGATAATAGTTCTATTCTTATTTATTTCTCCAAGCTACAAAAGCAAAACGCATAGTAAAGATGTGAACGAAAAGTGCAACGGCAACCTCCATCTAATTAGAAGGGAAAGAATTGCTGCGACTCTAAAGTCCCCTTGCCAAATTCATTTCTCTCAGAATTTGTCCTGTAACGACGCATAAAATGGCGGCTATCTGAGTATTGCAATCTTGAGTTTGGATCAAAGGAAATTTAGCATTGCAATTTTTCTCCCAAGAGTGATGGAGGAAGCGCTTCGTCACAAAAACTTCATTGCGTTTGAGCTACATTCTGAATTGTCAGCAATTCATTTTGATGTAAGGCGTTTTGAACTCTGCTCATTTCTAAAAAGTTAAAAAGTGACAGTAGGTCAAGGGCCTTGATGCAGTCGCGACCTTTCTGCGAATTTTTTGTTAGCTTCTAGATTTGGCCCAAAAGCCACTTTTCAAAAAGGAATATGCATTTTCTCGAGTTCTGTTGATTGTAGACGTCATCTATAACGATGGTACCCTAATTTCACGCGTACAAGGCGCCAGCCCAAACACGCCAACTTCGCGACCAAAGAACGGGGCTCCGTATTGCCTGAGAGAATTGAACGGTTTAAGGTTCGCTTTCCGAAACAGGTTGAAGCGATTGAGCGGCTTGTTTGAAAAATCGAAAAGAGTGCGCCTTGTACGCGTGAAATTAGAATTAAAGCGATTCTATAATTTTATATAATATATAGAAAACAAAAAAATTGTGCTTCTTGTCATATTGGAAACCTACAACATTTCATAAAAATTTACGAGCAGTACGCATTTTTGCCAGTGAAAAAGACTAAACTAGAAAGCTGTACAACCAGCATTGTTGAATCTATCACGACTGTACCGCACCAGTGCTGGATATTTCTCTGAGCGGTGTTAGTAAATTCGCGATTTTTCTTTCACAATATATTGAGTCAGCAGCTTTGTTGGATGTGAAAAAAGCTTACTTTCGATATGGTGATGCAACCCTCATGGACGAACCTGATTTTGTTAAGTGGATTTCTGTACTATTTCCTCCAAACTAATCGCAGTATTATTTTCACCTATAGCTAGTGTGAAACACGACACGAAAATATACACTCGACAAAGTGTATCGTGCTCTAGAGCGTTAGACATCACACTATAAAAAAAATATCTCCGGTAATATAGCAGACAGTACAATGCACACAAAAAAGGGAAAATCCAACGATTTCGTAGCGATTGCTATAGCTCTCGGTTGGGGATGTGCGGAAATCAATCAAAGCTTTCATAAGGTAAGCTAATTTCGAGGGCAGAGAAAAAACGAAGGGATACGCCTTACTTAATTTGTTGCTTACAGAGGAAAGCAGGCATTTAGTAGAAACTATGCAGCAACATGGATTAACACTGGAAAGTTCTCGAGAAGCTCTTACTGATCTTTTGTTTACTAGCATTTGTATAAGCATAGGGTTTGCATAGCTCTTATAGACAATAAAAAAGTCATTTATTCAGAAGTTGCCCAGACTTTACATGCTCTCGATGCAGGTTGGTTACCTGGTTTTATCTTGGAAATGTAAATAACATTTAATCTATATCAACAGAAGAACTGTTTACTGATAATCATACGAGCGCAAGATGCAAACAACTGACTTGAATCTGACAAGGGAAGGATACTAACTTAGATTTGCCTTTTGTGATGCGACACATATAGGAATCATTTCGGAACGCTGATTCCAAAAATGCTGTTCCTAGCTGCTTATTGTTATTCTGAAGCGAGTTATGGTCTCTTTTCTATGCAAAGTTTGCGTGCTCCTCGACCTTTGATGCTACGTTGGCGACGTTTAGGTGGTTTGCAATTGAATGATGCCCCTTCCAGGATTGAAAACATTAATCTGTTGCTAGTTTAACATCCTAGCACTTTTTTTCGAGCAGATTCTTAGCTACACGCCGTCCTACGGCATTCAGAAATTTGTTAGTTACTCACAACAGCAAGCCCATAACTCGCTTTGGTATAACGCTAAGCAGCTAGAAACAGTACATTTGGAATCAGCGTTCAAAGCTAAATCTAAATATATGTCCCACATCTTCAAAAGCGAATCTAAATTGGTATCCTTTCCTTGTGAGAAAAAAAAAACGAGATATGAGCGCGTGCATACACCATCGTAGTCATTTGACCCGACTTTTTGCGTGAAGGCACTGCTTTGTGAATTTGCAGTTGCGGAGCTACGCATAAAAGTCAGTCGCCGAAGTGCTGTTTGCTGTTTTTGCTATTGTATTATCGTCACTTCGTAAAACGTGACCGTACCATCGTAACCTTGCTCCATGCATTATCGGGGCAACTCCTAGAATGTGCCTTAAGTGGGTGTTCGTTAAGCAACTTCT